TAACTTTTTACTCATCTTCCTCTTACTAAGCAACTTCAGACATTTCCTTCCTTTTAACAGTAGATACATGATCTTCTAGTATCTGGTCAACAGACTGAACCTCACAAGTTGTTAAATCATTATCCACATTATCTTGGAAGTCACACTTGTATCACACAGTCTCACTTGTATTCAATGAGAGCCAGTCTTGCTCTTTATATGCTGTTAAATTTGGAAGAACTTCAATGTTTTCCTTTTCACCTTCAATTCGAAACCCACATTTTTTTAAACAATTCTGTATTGTTTCAGGAGATATTTGTCTCACGTTTCAGTGATAAAGCAATGCTTGAATGATGTTTAATTTCATTAATGAAGCATCGTCAAGCATCTCTCCATCTATTATTGCTATATCTTTTCTTATTAACTGTTTCTTATAATGACCCTTGAATGAATGGATGATGCCCATGTCTGGTGACAGAAGTTGACTAGAACAGTTTGGTAGAAAAATATAACAAAGTTTGCAGCCAACTGGTTCCTTTTGAATGAGCAGCATACTGATCAATGAAGAGGACAATTTTGAGATTCTCGGCTACATCTGCGTATCTACTTGTAAGAGAAAGTCTTCAAACTTTCTTCCAGTCATCCAGGCTTGTTGGTTTGCCTTGTATTTTGTTAAAATGATTTTAATGTTTTGAAAACATTGAGGATTCTGAAACTTGCCAATATCTAAAGGAAGCAACAGTTTACATCCATCGGCATTACATGCCAGCAGCACCGTAATTCTTTGTTTCGATTTAGTGCCTCTATGGCATGGGTCCCTTTTAAAAGCCAATATTGTTTGGGGTTGGAGATTGAAGAACATACCAGTTTTGTCTGCGTTGAAAATACTCTTTATTTCATAGCCCTCAGTCAGCTGATGAATCCTCTGTTTCCAGCCTGAATTGGTGGCTGTATTCACGCTTGCACATTCTCCACAGACATTTTGGTAAATTAGATTCTGATGCCTTTTGAAGCAGTCCAGCCAGCCATTGAACGCCTTTTCTTTTAGATGCAATCCTTCGATGGCTACATTAGATGCTCTCGCTTGCCTCAACCAACTCACAAGGGCAGTTTCCCATTCTTCCGTCAGAGATATTATCAGTGATTTTCACGACTTCAAAAGCAATGGTCTCCATTCCACTTAACATTTTTGAAGTTGCTCATGTTGTTTCACTATTGAATTCAAAGTGGTCACACACAAACCTATTTTGGCAATGAAGTCTACTCGCTTCCCAAAGTGAGAATGAACTTCTAAAATACAAATTTTTGAATAGCAAAACACACAACATTTATATGTATCCCTGCTATCTTTCTCAACACTAATACTGTTATTGTCGCCTTATCTTTCAGAAGGTTCATTTCAATTAAGTCCTGCCATGCAAAAATCCTAGTATCGGGGTTTACTACACAACAGGACTTCACAAGTCAGAAGCAAAATTGAGGAAAATGTAAAATCTCAAAAACATAAAATCAAGGAAAATTATACATTACATATATGAATGTTTTGCCAGGACTACTCAGTTATGATGTAAATTCTAGCAAAGCGTAAAATTGGGGATCATTAAATCTAAGTTTCACTGTAGATGTTAACATCCCTACGATTACCAGTATATCCCTAAATTTTGTTTTTCTGTAAAACTGTTTTGGGCACTCCACCAAAGAATTTTAGAGCTTTATACCATTCGTCTGACAGTTTCTCATGTCTTCGATCTGTGAGTTTGTTGCTTCTTGGTAGATCATTGTGTATCTTATTTTCCACGTTACTCACTCTAGATTTATTTCTGAAACCTACATAACAACAAATAAAGCTGCATCTTCATTTCCAAAAGGTGACCTTTAAGGGCATTATGAGCCCTTCACATCCTTATCATAAAACGTATAGCAGCCACAGCCTTGGGGAAATCGGGGAACACAAAAACAACCACGGACCCAAATAAGATCTTTGTGGTACACTTGATGTCACAGTACCATCAAATAGTACAACTATGTGCCACAGAGTAAACTCACAGATCAAATATGTTTAAAAGACAACGAATTTCCTCCTTCCGTTTCTATTAGAAACTTAATGGATTGAAGCAGATTCCTGTAATATAGGAACATTATATTATAGAATAATAGGAGCTGAGCAAGAACAACATTATTTTTTAAACATGCTTGGCTTATAGTTGAATACCCTAGTATATAGTTGTATCATTTGATGGTATTATTTTTAATTTGGACACTTTACACCTCACAATCTGCTTACGATCATTCAAATAACTTACTATCCATTTATAAAGCATTGGATGAAAGTTTAATAATTTTAATTTGCTCACAAGTATATCAATATCAATCCTGTCGAATACTTTTGAAAAATCTGTGTATATAACATCAACCTGTACATCATGATCAAGAGCATTTATCACATCATTCATATATATCATGAGATTTGTAAGAGAACTTCTACCAGATATGAAGCCATGATGTTGCTAAAAAATATTGTTTTCAAAAAGAGGTTTAATTTGAACCTGTATCAAGCTTTAAAAACTCTGTTGATAATAAGTTTATAGGCCTATAATTTTTACTATATTTCTATCTCCTTTTTTATACAGATGTTATAAAGCACTTTTTCAACAAAATGTATCTAATGTTTGAGATACATTAAAGAAAGAGAAGCAGCAAAAGCACGAGCAAGCACAATCATTCAAAATCCTGCTATCCCATTCTATGAGTATTTCAGTTTGAATAATTTATTCAAAACAGAAGATGAAGTACTACCCAATTCAAAATCAAAAGTATTATCAGAAACATTTGTGGAACAGATAGAGGGGTAATTAGTAGTTTTGCATTTTGATTTTGTATAACCAGATTGAAAATGTATACCTAATAAATTTACATTATCATTACCATTATTTTCCTTAATACCATCAAAGGTCACTGAATTAGGTAATCCATGACACTTTATTTTGCTATCAGTAAAATTCAAAAATGATTTTACATTATATTCAATAGATTTCTCAACAGATTCAATAAATTTCCGAGCAAAAATGTGGCAGCTTTTATTGCTTTCAGCTCCAATTTTAGAAATTTCGATTTTATCTAATAGGTTTGTTTGCAAATACTTAAAATCCACCTTTTTTTCATTATAAGTTCTTTTTGGAATTATTTAAGCAATTATTATCATTATTTTTATTAATACTCTTTTTCAGAATCAATTTGCCAAAAAATTATCAATACGAGAATAAAAGTAATCACAAGCATCATTCAGATGCATTGATCGCATACATCCCAACCAATGCAATTTAGATAAGCAACCATAGAACGAATATTTACTTTCCGACAATCATAAACAGGCTGAGAACCAATAGAACAATCACCGCTTCATTTATAATATTTCATTTTAATCGAAAGAACCCGATATCTATCATGATTTACTACAGAATCAAAATTTTCAATAATCTGAGAAGGAATATCAGAAGCAAAATAAAGTTAGAATAAGAGCATTATAATATACTATTTTATTTACCTGATAAAAGCTGTGAAGGCTAGAATAATTAGACAATAAATAAAATAATATAAATATTAGCACTTGAACAACCAATCTCACGAAAAACAGAGAAACTTATTATTTCATTAAACTAACTTACTCATGGCAAATTATAATAACCAACTATAAAAAAAAAGGATATAGGCGTTGTGGTGATTTATCGTTGGCATTTTTCATGAAATAATTATAAACGTTGTCATTGCCAACAATAGTTGCCAACTATTGTTGGCAATGACGTTTATAATTATTTTATAAAAAAGGAAATAAAATTATGTGATAAGACCATCCATTTCTTTACAGTATTCACTATAGACATCAACTGACAAAGCACGAGGAATATAAGCAGCTCCCAACATATAATCACAATTACTCAAAGTTAGTGTAACGATTACAGTGCTAAAAAATTTGCTGACAGATTTCAGCAAAGAACATTTGAAATTTTCTATGTGGATTGCTATAAATACATCTCTCCTACCCTTGCTTCTTCTGTGATAACTCACAATCTCTGTCCTGTCTAAAGTTGTTATAAGAAGATAAACAAAGCTCACTATCATGGATATCATGTAGAGAAGATTCAGATGATTAATACATCTGCCCTTAATGATTGTAGAGAGACATCTTTCATATCATCCAACTTAGTTCCCAAACCAACTACATTTTGATAAATGTACAAAAACTCATTTAGTTTTTTGAAACATAGTTGGTATCTTTAGTAGGCCCAGACTTTTCAACCAACACAGATACGCCATGAACAGATTTTATGTGCATTGAATTAATATTTTCCGGTTTAGCTTACTCATTTTTATTTTGTTAAAACTTTTTCATTTCAAGTTTTGAATAGTCTGCTGGAAATTATTACTACATTTGTATTTACACCCAAGTATTAACAATACCATTTCGTTTGTATCATAAATTACTTGCAGAGGACGAGGATGATTTTTATTCAAAGTCGAGATCCTGGATGTCTTTTAAACATTGACCTAGTCAACCACATTTAACCATGCATATGCATTGTATGACAAATGTGCATTTCATTAAATGATAAAATGCATGCTAGCAAACTATAGAAATATGGTTATTCAACATAAATTTTCAAAAACTGAATGTTGTTCTTTTCCTTTAGCAGATACAATGATATCAGTTTAATAGTGCAACTATGAACAGAAAAATACTTTTTAAAGGCAAATGCAAAAGTCACATTATAACCTGCATTGTCATTACATTTTTGTCTGTGCAGAAGCAGCATAAAAAATTATATTATTTGCTTTGTAAGATGCTGAAAACATTTAAAATCTTCATAGTTCCTCTTTAGATATGAAATGCATCATCAACAAAGGATTACTTTCCAATTTGCAGTTAAATTACACATGCTGGTCTACCAAAAATCTTACGAGACAACAAAACAAAGCAAGAAAATTAAGACAAATTACCAAATAAATTTACAGTAAGAAATTACCGTCATTTCTCCACCAAAACATTCAGCTGCAATTTGGTTGGGGTCGAAAGGTTTCACTTCTGCATCATTAAACAGAAACCACTTATCACGATTTGAAGTCCTATCTCGAATAAAACTGTAGTAATGCCCGCCATCTGCAGTTCCTGTATGGACTGTCACTCCAATTAAATCATATTCATAACACTCATTGAAGTCCTCAGTGTCAGAGCCTTCTTTATCATCAGTCCCTTCCTTATTTCTTTCATGCTCTTCACACTCCTTGCTTATTTTGTCCTTGTTATTGTCTTCGGACTTACTGTCTTTTCGAATGCGCTCTGACTTTCGTAATTCAGATCTTCTTTTTTCTTCTAAACATACATACATTTAGTAAATTTAATTATCGTGTTTATATTACATTTAAAAAATTCTAACTTTTAAATTCAATGGATACATAAATCCAATCAACAAAAAATTATGCATTTTATTATAAATGAAAGTTAATAATCTACACAAACCTTGGTAACGCTGTGGCATCAAATGTTTCTCAACATATCCAGACATATCTAATCGTAAAGGAAATGAAAAGTGTGTATTAACCTTTTCCTTTAACATTGTTACCATATTGAAAGTGTAACGCATTGTGTTGAAACATAAGATGTGAGGTAGTTTCTTAAAGCAGGCTCTGCAATAAAAAAATTTGTACAAGTATTTATGAGCTTATATGATGATTTTGAGATGAGTTTTGAAGTAGGCATTTTACAAGGAATATAATTATGATGTTACCTTTTCTCAGCTCGTACTTTTTTACCACATTGGGAACATGTATACATATTATCTCCTTCTAATGTGTCCTTTACGGTCACTTCATCCAATGATTCATATAAATTGCGCATATCAGCAACTTGACAACGAACTGTGTAGAATTCTTCCAAGGTACGACTCACATGTTCACAATCCTAAATAAAATACACACTATTAAGTTACTAAGTACTACAAGAAGATTTACTGACATAAACATAAAAAACAAATATTTGACTGCTGTAGATATAATTGAATGAATGAGTGCAAGAAAAAAATTATTAGAATTTCATAATAACATGGGATGCAAAAAAATGTTAGAGAAAAAAATACTGAAGAATCTACTGGGCAAGTGCAGTAGATCAAAATTTTCTTCCTCTTAGAGTTACTATTTATTACTTATCACATACTCACTTTTTTTAGATATACACAACAATTTAAGATCTAACACTGAGGTATAAATTGAATAAAAATGTATATGGCTGGCTTAATATTAGTGGAGTGACTGGTTTGAAAATAAATTAAAATATTTGCAATTTTCAAAATTTCAAGGGTATTAAAAAAAATTGGAATTTAACCACTTATTATAAATTCCAGCATTTTTTTTAATTGCAGCCATTTTCCAGAATATTCTAAAAAATGCCTTACAACTTTACACAAGTTACACCCAAAAATTAAAATAGTTTAATCTTCAGAAAAGCTTCCAATCTGATAGTTATGAGTGACACATTCATCTGCCATCCATCAGTGCAGACATCCCAATTTTTGGGTACAAAATTGCTTTATCTCCTCGTCAATAGCATCAATCATAACTATGTTTGGAAGAGCACTAAAATACCTTAATCCTGGCATGTGGGTGAAGTTACAGCTCATAAGAACCTTAAAAACAGATTTTATGACTGAAAATTGGAGATATTATTGTTGAGATGATGGAAGTGGTGTAATAAGTAAAAGAAAAATGAAAATATCAGTCAAGTCACAGAATCAAAAGAACCAGTAGCCTGAAGCAGCAAAAGCAGGTAAATTCCAGACTGACATATTAAAAATTCAGTAAAACCCCGTTTTTATGTTCACGCATTTTATGTTTTCCTGCCTTTTACGTAATTTTTCGTTGGTCCCATCGTCAAGCCTTTATTTACAATGCATTCTCTTCTTGCAATTTACAACTTGATATAATGAGTGCTTCCCTTCTTTTAGGTCTTTTTTTAAAATTTATTTAATTTTTTTTAACTTTCTTGTATACTTACATATTATACCAAGTGCAGAGAAAATTACGTAATGCTGCAGCAAAAACAGCAATTTAGACAGGAAAATTGGTACTGATTCAGAAAATGTGGATAAATTCTGTTTCAATATCTAGTAAATTACTACATATGTATGTAACAAACTCGCAAAAGCCTCGATTTCGTTCAGATCAATTGAGGAATATCAATTTTCAAGAAAATGGGCAGGCGCCTGCGTTGACCACAGAGTGACCAACAGATGTTTTGCTCTCAATTGATTTGCGGTTTCAAGGACCCATTAAACAGGGATTCAGGCTCCACCACCCGCTGGAGGAAGTAATTTCCTGTATATTAGAATATGATTTATCCACTTTTCATGACCAGAGCCCATTATTACGAGATTTTGGGACCAAAATCACCGATATTGTTGCACACTTTTACTTTCTCTTCTTACGAAGCATGAGAAAATGAAAACGGAGCTACCATTGTAGTAAATAACGAACGTTTTTGCCTAGCCTATCGTTTTTCAACATTCCTATATTTAACACTTTTTTGAATCGGTCCCCTGAAAAGCTTAAAAAAGGGGTTTTGCTGTATAATGAACAATTACACTAAAGAAACATACGGAAAAAGGCAGCATCCTTCTTTTAAGATACCAGTCTGTAGAAGTTTCAGCTATCAGAGACAGATCAAGCTTTGCACAGTTGTTGACAATGAAAATAATATTGTCACCGTTATTTTTAGATTGCATCATTCACATTTCCTTCTCAGTTAATATTTAGAAAATAATTAAATACAGAAAAGATCAATCAATGCCAATAATCCAAAAAGGCTGAACTTCTGCATCAAAAGCCAAGGGCTGTGACAAATCACAGTGGTGTCCAGCCAAAGGCAGGTGGCTTTCTCGAATTCAAGGTGTGTTCCCAGTTTTCCATGCTTGGGTATAGATTTTTGTTATGAATACAGTTTTAAAGAAACTAGACAAATTTGTCTTATTAACAAACTTATGTTGATACAAATACATATCTACACACAACTAAGAAAATATTTTAATTGTATGGAAAAGCAATCTTGAGAGTATATCAATGCTGACATGTGCAAAGAGGATGCAAGAGAAGGAGAAAGGGTGACAGAAGAAAGAGGAAGAGAGGATGAGGGAGGTAGAACAAGGGGAACATGCTCGCAAACATGCCCACAAGTATGTCCTGCCTGCCACACACACACACACCTGCCAGAGTGAGATCTGAAACACACTTATTAGATTCCTTATTAATGCATAAAAAATAGAATTGAATTACTTACCAATGAAACAACATTGTTACTTATGACACCTCCAAAAAGAGTTTTTACAAGCTGTTTTAGTTCAGGAGTCATCTCCTCAAGTTTTGAAACCAAATCAATAAAAAATTCAGCCATGTCTTTCTGTTCTCCAGTGTTCAGAGGCTGGTGATCCATTGTGTACACTTTACAGAAGCTCCTTGGATTATACGCTTTGCGTTCACTTTCCTGCAACAGACACATGTATAATTGTAAAATAGTTGTACATCAAAATTGTAACTAGTAGAGCTATTACATCACATGCTTTTTTGTATTAATGGTAATGGTTATAAGATTTTATGATAATGCAACTTCTACCCTACTAAAAGTTCTCTTTCTGCCACTGAATTCCTATTCTGCTCTATTCTTCCAAGAAGTAAAAAGAAGAAACAAATAAAAATTAAGAATTACACAACTGGGATATGCACTTAAGTGAGATAGCACATAGAACACTATCCCAATACTAATATGAGTGTCATAAAGAGTCTTTCCACTTATTACGTTACACAGAATTCTTTTGCTGCAGGAACACATTATAATTCAAAATTGACATTGGATATATCAATTTGAGTCCAGTTAGAGGCATTTAGGAATATCTATTTTGGAGAAAAACCCATGTACTATTTACAGATGGATGGATGGATGGATGGATGGACAGTCAAGCGTGTCCAAAAGTGAGTAGTAGATTATTATTATTAATATTAATTATTATTATTAACAATATACATTTATGCATTATTTTTAATGGTTAAATAATATCAATATTATATTACTGAATAATAATTTATATTTAATATAACTGAACTTAATATTATAATACTGAATTTAAAACAACTCATTGAAAAAACGTTCCTAACACACTCAAATATTTGCACAGACTGAGATTTGAACCAAGGCACATAGATCCCGCAAAGGCCCAATCGACTAGACCACTTGGGTGCTCGAGTTTGAACAACATTCCCAACACATCAAGCAAAAAGTTAAATTTTTGCTATTGTCAAAATTTCAGAGGTTTTAATGAAAATGAGATCTAGGCCATATTATTAGCCATTGTTTTATTTGAGTAAAAAAATTAAAGAAAAATTTGAAGCTATTTCTAAGAAAATCTTTTTTAGATATTTTTTATTATAATGTGTATTTTCATCAAGATCTGGACATCACTTCTTTCAGCATTACATACATTTCACTATACTATGTATACATTATGGCTAATTACCATACCGAATCTAATAATTTTCAAATTAGTCAGTAAATGCTAACATTATCCAAAATAGATGGATAAAATCTGTAGTTAGAACAGCTTCGAAGCGTACTTCAGACTTTAGCCGAAGGAAGTTAACATTAGTCAACACAAGGTGTCTGCAGTAGGTGAAGTATGTGACAGGAAAAAGCGCTTATTATGTGATAAACAGGGATCAGACTGCTGGTGGGACTCTTTTCAGGCTAGTGAGAAAGAAGAGCGATGTTTCAAGTCCCAATGTGTCAGTTGTACATTTCTATTCTGCGCAATGAAAAATTCTAAATGAGCTTTGATGCCAAAGTCTTCTGGCAAACACACAAGATGCCTCACCCACATACTTAAGTCAGCATCCTGAGGGCAGGAGCATATCCAGGAAGTATTTCGGAGGGAGGGAGGGGTGGGGGACATTTTGCATAACCCCACTTAAAGATTTTTGATATAATATCAATTGAAAATTATTTTTATTTAAAAGAGACTCACGAACATTAAACAGAATTATGGCCAGACAATGTAAACTAACCACAACAAAATAACTCAAAACTCAGGGACTTGGAACTAATTTTAAGTCAAAAACAGCATTTGAATTATGTTGATATCAGCATTTAATTTTTTTTAAATTATCTACATATGAAGACCTCCTCTCATTGGCCTTAGGTCTCTAATACTTTCACACACTGAAACACAATGCAGTGAATAAATACTGAAAGACTTAGACAAGCAGAAAATAAATAAATAATAAATAATAATAATAATAATAATAATAATAATAATAATAATAATAATAATAATAATAATAATATCATTGAGTCACATATACAATTACAATCATGTATGACAAGTCAATATGATGGGTGGCGAGAGCAAAGTTACATTACTGTTCAGGAGCAAACAAGGGGCCATCTCAGCATTTGCTCAAAGGACCAGGGAAACTGAACAAAACCTGACCGAGATGGGGTCATTGGCCTAGAAATACAATACGTGTTACATAAGATATATGTAATAAAAGAAAGTCTCAAAAGTAAGTAGTTATTGCAAAATGTTAATTCTGATGAGGCAAGTTATCGAGCTGGCATGCTCGGAGGATTGCATCTTGAAAGCCCATTTCCCGAAAGTTAATATTTCTGATACTAAAATTACTTTCTCTCAGTTTACATGAGGGCTGTCATTATACAAAAAATTGTATAATGAGAAAATATTTTTATCTACAAAAATAGTACACATTTTTCAAAAATCATTGTTTCAATGTTATTATGAATGATACATCGGTAACCTGTAAATATTTCAATGTTCTAACTTTAATAGCTTCTGAGAATTAGATGCAAACATTTAACATTGTCAGGATAGGGAATTCCATATCCCCTTAAGAAATACTGATTCTACAAAAACAGTACAGCTGGAGTTTCACTACTCTGACTTTCATGGAAGTGCTGTAATTGCAAAACTCTTCATAATGGAAGCCAACGCAGGCTGTGAAAGAAATGGTGCCATGATCATAAAACCATAGCAGCATTGGCATTCTTACAAAATTTCACAATCGTCTATTGATTTTATTTCAAGAAAAAAATTTAAATCTGCAAATCATAAAAATTTATTTATATTGATGTGTAACAAACAAATTTGTTTCAGTAGAATGCTTGCTTCTAAAAAAGTGTTGTTCAACAATCAGAACACTAATAAATATATACAATAATTTTTTGTTATATCAATTCAAACAATTTTGGAATAACATTTATAACAGATATAGGTCTATAGTTTTTAGCATTTAATCGATTTTCACTTTTCAAACTGGTAACAGATGAAATTTTTTCCAAATCCACGGTAGCGAACCGTCATTGATTGATTCTCTAAATAACATGAAGAATTGGAGTTAAAGTAGTTATACAGTTGTTGTTTTTTTTAAGGACACAGGAATACCACCAGGTATGGCACATTTATTGATATTAAATTAATTAATGGCATCAAAAATTTCTCGTTGATCTCTTGGTTGATATATCATGATATTTCAACAAAATCTTCAGAAAAATTTGAAGATTTTCTCCACATAGTTAGAAATAAAATTATTCATCTAAAATTTGATAATAAAAAATTATGCATTGCAGTACACGCATGGTGTAACAAAGCTTTATTCCTTAAACTTCCATAGAACAATTATGCCATAAGTATATTCACCAGAAGGTAGGCAAACATGCGTTGTAGCTCACGCAGAGTCATTTCATGCTTGCTGGAACCATCACATTTAGCTCGCAAAATGGAAGTACGTGCTTGAGGCATCATGTACAAGTGTTGCATGCATGAGGCCATATAACACGTAGCACCAAGGTTTGTAAGACCCACATATCCACAATCAGATCGCCCATCTTCATGTGGCCAATAGTCCCAGGGATAAGGTGAGTTTGGGCCTGAAAGAATGTCAGAAAGTTTACGGAGTACTTGCTTATTTGAGAATTTCGACAAAGGAGAGAAGTAAAATAATTTATTTGAGAATTAAGTTTCAATAGTGCTCATCAATAGTGAACACACTTCTACCTGGTTCATGTTGCACAAGAAGCTTGTTGTGTAGTTGCCTGTAGTTCTCTGGGGCTCCTTTTGCTAGCTCTACAAGCAAGTCAAACGCAGAAGAGCGTGACAACTGTGACTTGCATTTTGGCACATAGCGTTTACGAGGATTAGGTAGTGCAAACAAGAAATCAAAAACCTGTCACAAACATCACATATTACAAGTACATTAAGATTTAAACGTTACAAGAAATTAATCACTAAATTATCAACCATGAATATAGCCCATAATTATGAATTTATATTTCAATAACATTAATTTGTTAGTAAAATTAAATGTATCATATGACAGACTAATAAATAAAAAGTGTAAAAAAAATAGAGGGAGAGAGGGAGGGGTAGAGAGGGGGAGAGAGACTATACTTTCATTTAACACCATGGATAGAATTCATTCTTCTTGCTGCATGGTAGTCAATTGTAATAAATGTCTGAGCAATACCAGATTCCTTCAGTTAGTTAATTACATGAAATACCTGTGAGAGAAATTCCTCGCCTTCTTTACTGGTTTTGAATGGTGGATTATGTTTTAGTACATTAGACATTAGATTCAAGAGTCCAATAAGACCATCATCCTCCATTGTGTTGTGTCTCATTTCAAGATACTCTCTGTTAAGAATGGAATGTGCTAATTTTTTGGCTAATCCATCAATGTCTATTAAACACACTTGCGGATCTTCAATACTCTCTGGAAAACAAGGTAAAAACACTTATTACACTGTGCGTGTGGAGAGAGAGGAGAGAGAAGAGAGAGAGGCAAGAGAGAAGAAAGTGAGAGTGTGAGAGAGAGAGGAGAGAGAGAGGAGAGAGAGGAGAGAGAGAGGAGAGAGGGAGAGAGAGAGGGGG